GCTGTGATAAGAAAAAAATCTAGGCAGTACATGTGTCTGACCAGAGCCTCAAAGTGTTATATATTTATATAAATTTAAGTGAGTCAAAATGCAGAGGTCTAAATGATAAAAAGATACAAAGCTACAACCTTCTTTACTGATAACATATTTTATATATTCAAACATAGGAATTTCAATGATGAGGAAACTTTATTCTAAGGTTTGTTTCCCAATTGCACAATCTGGTAATTTTTTTTTTTTTTTTTTGAGGTGGAATCTTTCCCTGTCACCCATGCTGCAGTGCAGTGGTGCAATCTTGGCTCACTGCAACCTCTACCTCTCGGTTTCAAGTGATTCTCCTGCCTCAGCCTCCAGAGTAGCTTGGACTACACGTGCCACATACCATGCTAATTTTTTATTTTTAGTAGAGGTGGGGTTTCACCATGTTGGCTAGGCTGGTCTGGAACTCCTGACCTTAGGTGATCTGCCCACCTTGGCTTCCCAAAGTGCTGGGATTACAGGTGTGAGCCACCATGCCCAGCCACAATCTGGTAATTTTTAATAAATTAAAATCAAAGCTAGATCACAGTTGAGTGTGCACGCTGCTTGTTAGTGTTGATATAATAGTAAAAATGTAATCTAAAATTTAATTTCAAAATATAATGTTTGCGGAGTCCCTAAAGCACCTCTGCAGAGCCCTTAAGTCTACATGATTTGTTGAGGCTCGATTAAACAAAATCTTGGCTATAATTGAATGTTGGACTTCACTTGCAGCCTTTGAGGATTTCTTGAAATATTTTAGGAAAGGATGTGAAAAAACCAGATCCTGTATTTGAAAAAATAATTTTAAGCATGTTTAAATTGAGGGAGAATGGAAATTTATTTAGAAAGAAACTGAAATAATTCAGATGAGAGTAACTGAAATTGAGGCCCTGAAGTAGTTCAGAATGAGTGAAACTGGAGAGTTGGGGTAAGATTCAAAGATATTTCAGAAAGAGGGAGGTATAAAGAAATAGTCGCTTTTAATAACGTGTGGTCCAGGGTTTGAATCTTGCCTGATGTTTTTCAGTTTATGAAAATATAGAAAGCATCTGCTATGGTTTGAATGTGTCCTCCTCAAATTCATATGTTGACACTTAATTGCCAATGTGATAGTATTAAGAGATGGGGCTTTTCAGCAGAGATTAAGTCATGAGAATTCATGAATGGGATTAGTGCCCTTATAAAAGAGGTAGAAGGGAACTGTTTGTGCCTTCCGCCCCTTCCATCATGTGAGGACACAAAACAGGTACAATCTATGAGGAACAGACTCTCACCAGAGTCTTGTTAAAAGAAAAACTTTAGACAAATTATATTTAGCAGAGTTTAATTGAGCAAAGAATAATTCCGAATCAGGCAGCCCTCTGAACCAGTAGAGGTTCAGAAAGCCCCATTCAGCAACGTAAGCAGGCAGTATTTACAGGCAGTAAAAGGAACTGAGGTACAGAAACAGCTTGATTTATTACAGCTTGGCATTTGCCTTATTTGGGCACAATGCAATGCCTTATGTGGACATGGTCTTATTAGTTGGCAGTCTGTGATTAAATTGAAGCCTGGCTGCTATAATTGACTGATACTCAGCTATTTGCTACAAGAATATACTCTTAAGTAAGGTTCATTTACACACTAAGTTAGGTGCAGTTTGCAACGTAGAAATTCAAAGTATGGAAGCAGCTCTAGGCCAAATTTAATTTAATTTAACACATTCATTCAGCTGGTGCCTTTATCTTGGACTTTCCAGCCTCCAGAACTGTGAGAAATACATTTCTTTTTATAACATACCCAGCCTAAGATATTCTGTTGTAGCAGCAAGAATGAACTAAGATACCATCTGGGAAATAATTAATAAAGTATAATCTTTAACACCTGAATAATACAAATAGATACTGATCTAGAAATTACATCTTGACATTCTGCAAGCCCTGCTTAACTACTGCATCATAGAAGGCCACATAGGTAGAGGCTGCAGAGCAGAGACTTGAACCCTAGCAGCCTAGCCACAGAATTCCTGCTCTTTATTATTTTGCTGTCAACACTTGATTCTTGGTTGAGATTGTGTTCAGAGGCACATGTAGTTTGAAATACAAAGTAGACGTGTGGGGGAAATGTAGACCAGGAGAGATGATCCTCTTCTATGTCATGTTATGAAGTATGAACTTTGGATCTCAAAGGTAATGTGGAAAACCAATGACAGGTTTTAAGCAGAAATAAGGTGATCAGTCTTGAATGTATAGAAGATATCACTCTGGTGGGTTTTATACTTTTAGGTTTCCTTAGCATCTTATAATAATTACCAATTTCATTCCAGGCCTTAAGCCTTCTCCAATTACCTCAGGCATTTATTTTATTTTTTTTCCTGAGAAAAGTACACTTTTAAAAAGTTCAATTTATTTTTACTCTATTCATTGAACAAATATTAAATATAAACTAGTTAATACTAATAAAAGAGACTCCTTCAAATGATCTATGAAAATAAGCTTATGAAATATGCAAATTAAGGGGTGATGACTTGCATTATAAAACAATACTTTGGATTTATGTTTTTCAAACCTACTAGCACAAAATTGTTTGAAGGACTATGTTCTCCATATATTAAAGGCCTATTGTCATAAAATGAAGCATGCATGCACTTTGACAACTGACTCAAATAACCCAGTTAAAAGCTGCTGTTTCTAGTGAAACCAGTTAGTTAACATTTAAAAAACAAGTCTTCAAATGCCCCTGATTATCATCCTGGAGGAGTACACCATCAACTGAAAGGACAAGATGTTCTATCTTTCACTAATGAGTGATGCTGTTGCATCACATTTTAGGAGATTTAAAATGAAACTCCTTAAAACAGAGAACAATTTACAATCTAATACACTCAGACACAGTACCTGCATTTATCTGATAAAATGATGACATACAGTCATGCCTTGCTTAATGACAAAGACAGGTCCTGAGAAATGAGACATTAGGCTATTTTGTCATTGTGCGAATATCTTAGAATATACTGACATAAACCTGGATGGTCTAACCTACTACACACCTAGGCTATATGGTATGCTTGTGCTCCTAGGCTATAAACTTACACAGCATGTTACTGTACTAAATATTGTAGGCAATTGTAACACAGTGGTAAATATTTGTGCATTTAAACTTTTTTTTTTTTTTTTTTCAGACAGGGTCTTGCTTTGGTATGTAGAGGAGCAATGTTAGCTCACTGCAACCTCTGCCTCCCAGGCTCAAGCAATCCTCCTGCCTCAGACCCCACTGCCCACCCCACCCCTACCCCAGTAGCTGGGACTACAGGTCCCTCCACCATACCCCGCTATTTTTTTTTTTTTTTTTTGGTAGAGATGGGTTTTTTTCCATGTTGCCCAGGCTGGTCTCAAACTCCTGGGCACAAATGATCCACCTGCCTTGGTCACCCAAAGTGCTGGGATTACAGGTGTGAGCCACTGCACCTGTCTAAACATTTCCAAACATAAAAAAGCTACAGTAAAATATGTTATTATAATCTTATGGGACCACCATCACATATGCTGTCCATTGTTGACCAAAATGTTATGTGGCACATGACTGTGTATATGTACACACACACATACACCCACACATACACATATGTATCATAACATAATACAAAAAAAAAAAAAAAAAAAGCTTTCCTCATTGCCTGCCTGGAATCAGACCACTTGTTTAAAGGCTTTGAATCCAATTCTCCCAGTTTCTAAGTGTGGAAGTTAAACTCTGCAAGATTCCACAAACAAAAGTTTGCAGAATTTGCCAGAAACTGCCCTTCAAAGCAAGTGGGCAATATCTTTCCTAGTTCAGAAAAGTTCATATATTTAAAATAAGTAACATTTTACACACCAATTAAAATTTAAATGCCTTTATGTAACTAAAAGGGAAATCAACATACAAGAACTTCTTTTTGTAATTTGTAATTCAGTTTATTCTAGTCTAGGAGTCTCACACATTATTTAAAAAGTATAAAATGAAGTCACAGGCATCAAAAATACAGTACAGTGTGTTTTGATCGTACAGTAATGAAGCTGATTTTTCTCAGGAGACTTAGTCACAGAGCATACACATTTAAAATGTGTCTTCCTCAGCCAAGAGCAACAAAGTGAGACTAGCCAAGATCAGTCATATGACGACCGACAAAGTTGCCACTGGAGTTTTTCCATTTCATGTGCCCTGTGGAAGGGCAAAAGTGGAAAAGCAGACTCAATTGGAATGCTAGTTTTTTTTTTTCCATATTGTATAAGTTAAAGGTCCAAACACTGCTATATTCTAAATTATCACTAGTTATGGGACTTTAGTTCTAGTACTTGAATTTCCTCTCAATCCGACTTCTTAAAAGGTGTTGAAATATCAAGCATTACTAAATTAATTTCTCCAAGGTAATGGAATAGTCTAACTTGGTATCTTATTCCTTAACTGATTTTGACTAAAATCATAATATTTACAGGGGGAAAAAAGTTCAGAGTTAAAAGAACACCATGAAAAGGCAAATGCTTTTATGGACAAACTTTGAACTGGATCTTCACTATTCATTACCTTAGCGTATTTGCTAAGGAAGCTAAGATCTCATTTAAATTTTTGTGTTTTGCTTTGGTTCAAAACTAACGTCACATTCTCAGAACTTACTCAGGCCTTAATAAAATAAAATGTTAGCCTTATAAAATAAAATGTTATTGAGCTTCCTCGTGGTCTTTCCACTCTGAGAAGTGCAAAGATAGTTCTGGAGAAATCGGACTTGGCTCATGTCCTCAAGGAGTTGGTCAAAAGATAAGGCTTGGAGAATATGTAGGTGTCATGTCAATGAACTGCTACAACTCGAATAACCTTGTAATAGTGCCCAACATTTATTCACTCCTCATAATAGGCCATAAATTTTGCATGAATTAACTCATAGAAACGTTATGACGTTGTATTATAAGCAATCCTAATTTGCAGATGAGGACACTGAAGCTTAGGGAAGTTATCTAACTTTCCCAAGCTTAAAGCAGTATCCTGCCTTTATGGTTTCACCTTCTTAGTAATCTCTGGGGTTGCTGGGACTGCAGTGAGAAAGAGCCTGAAATTTGCAAACTCGGACGATGGGGAAGAAAAGGTGTGCTAAACTCAGGTCACAAAGGTCCATTCTTAATCTTCCTCTGAAAGCCTTGCTCCTCACACCTTATGGCCAACAGCTCGAGGGAAGTCCTCACAGCAAACTTACTCCACCTAAGCCAAGGCCAGGTGTGGGGAGAAGGGGCTGAGAAATGTTAGAAATGTGAACGCAGTCCCGGCGGGAGAAGAGAAGGGGGTCTCGAGGGGTGCCCCTATGCAGCACACACACATGCCAGGCACTGACTTGGAAAAGCAAAAACTTCGTGGGACATCCTCCCGCGGCAGGAGGGTCCTGAACCCTATGCCAAGACTCATCCACAACCTAGGGGGAGGCGGCCACCCGCGCACCACTGAAGCTAAAGGGTGACCTAAGGGCTGCGGCTGCAAGTGCACGTCAACACGGCTGTCTCGCACAAGACACCTGGGGCGCGGAGACGAACTTCCCCGCGATCTGCCAGGGTGCGCAGAGCCTCTTCTCCCCGCCAGGGCCCCGCCCAGCCTCACTTATTTTAAAAGCAGTAGCCAGCAGCGCGCCGGCGGCGTGCGTCTCGCTAGCCGGGAGGACGTCAGTGCCGCGCTGTCGAGCCTCCAGCCCGCCCCGCTTTCCTTCGCAGTGACTCGGCGGCAGCCAGGACAGCGCGCACCGACACTCCCACACGCGCTCCAGCCTCCTACTGCCTCCCCGGCCAAAGATGGCGGCTCTCAAACTCCTCTCCTCCGGGCTTCGGCTCTGCACCTCTGCCTCTAGATCCGGGGGAGCCTGGTACAAGGTAAAGTTCGGGTGAAGAGGAAGGCCACAGGCAGGAAGAACGCGGACCAAATCCGAGTGGTGCCCGCGTTTTCTCCTCTGCCCCTACCCGCCCTCTCCATCCTGGGATCTGGCATCCGTGGCGCGGTACCCTGGTCACGGACACGCGGCGACGCGTTCCTGGCCTCGCCCTCTCCGCGGATGATTGCCTTTGCTTGGTTCTGCAGTCGCTTCCCGGATGAAGCTAGACGCCGTAAAGAAGCGCGCAGAGAGGCTGAGAAGGGGCGGGAGGATGCCTCGCAGCGCTCGGAAGCCCTTCGGTGCTTGCCGGCGTCCTCGGGACGCGCGCTTGCGTCGCCCCCGCAGCCTCTAGACCTCGTGGCACCCGCGCTTGGAAAGGGACTCTGAGAGCCTGAACTGGGGGAGGAGGGCGCCAGTGTATGGAGGGGAAGGAGTGAGGCAACAGCGAGTGGGTTTGCGTCCCCCATGTGGGATCTCTGGGCAGAGGAGCCTCTAGAGGGCCAGAACCTGAGGCGGGGTTAGCCACGGCTCTGCTCAAGTTCGCCGCCAAGGGGCTGAATGCTGGGTGCTGCGGGTGTTGAATGCCGTTCCCCATCCTCTCCTCTCTTCCCCTATTTGGCTCTACCGCCCGGCAGACGAGCGCTCTCCAGGGCGTCCTGCCGGCCTAGCTGGGAAACAATTTGAGATGTGTCCGTGGCTCACGCGTGGTCTGCAGGGGTGGACAAACCTTTCTCTTGAGGCCGGGTTAGGGGCTTTCGCTTTTGAGGGCCCTTTGAAATCCTTTTTGCGCCCCACTGCCAATTCACCCCCACAGTGGACTGACTTGTGGTTTTCCCCTATGCTTTGTCCTCTGTTGTAAGCCCACCTTTGTCTGGAGCCTTAGGAGCCCAGAGCGCCAGGTCCAGGAGGTGGCTTTACCCCGGCCTCCTCAATCGCAGAAGCCTCTTCCTTGGTATTGAATAATAGATCTGAGCTTGACAGCGTGTCATGCACACGAGTGCTTACTCCTGAAACTTGCCTGCCCGGCCCCAGTGCTCTTCTTTTCTGTATCCAATCCCTGATCGCTGAGAACACAGAGGAGCCACTGAGTTCCTTCGGCAGGTGCTAGGGAATGATTCAGAACTGGTCTATTTTACCCTTAAATGCCTCTTAAGAAGCATTTTGATAACTGCAGATAGACTTGGATATATAAAGCATTATTAAAAGGGAACTTGACCTTCACTGAGATTGCAGCGGTGCTAAAGTTAATGCGAACCAGAGCACCCCGATACCCTTGGGCCGAGGTCAATAACGTTCCTTCTTTTGACAGTTACTTATTTGCCCAGCTGTAATTTACTCACTTCGAGTCTTTCCCACCTTGAGTATATCATTAAACCATCTCCAAAGCTCAGCAAACCTCTTCTTAGAGGGATGAGTGCAAATGAGGTATTCTGCTCTATCTCATGAAAAGTTCATACAGAGTTCAAACTTACTCCTGTCAGGCTTGATTATCACAGGTCTAACTCCTGCCTCCCACTGTTCCCCTAGCTTATGGCTCTTAGTGCCCTTTTGTTTAGCACTTTAAATCCTCACCTGCTGCTTCTGTTGAACTGTACCACTTACCTCCTTGTTTAACTTTTCAGATGTGTATATTGTCTCCTCAACCAGATGACAGTTCCCTGATGGCAGAACTATACTGTATGCCTTACACTCAGTCTCCCTCAACAAACACACTACTCTGCATAGATGAGATATTCTACACATGTTTAACAAATGGATGAGAGAACCCTGCAGGCAAACAAGTAGAAACCTTGAGTTTTTCCACTAAACATAGCTAACAGCTAAAATGAGATGTTTTCTTAAATGTTTAAAATTTTTATGATGGGCAAGCCCAGTGTCTCTCAGACCTGACAGTGCTCAGCATTACCTGGAGGTTTTCTGAAAGAGATTGCTGTACCCAGCCCCAGAATTTCTAGTTTAGTAAGTCCTGGGTGGGGCCCTATAATTTGCATTAACAAGTTCCAAGTGATATTGATGCTGCTGGTCTGTGGACTAACTGCCCCTTTTGGAGTTATCTGGCCCACTGGACTTAGGTGAGAATAGGCTATTGGAAGGTATCTTCTTACTTCATTATTACTATGGGGCATTGGGGGAGCATTTAATACTATTTTCACTATTGAAAGTTATTAGCTGGAAAAAATTATAAGAGTACCACTAACATTTGACCCACCTATCATCCTTGAAACTGTCTTTTCCCAAATCTCTTTCTAACCCAGGCTCTCCTGAGCTACAATCCTTCTGGTGCAACCAGTCAACTTCACTTGGATGTCAGTTGGTGCTTAAAGCCCTTTCTGATCCAAAGCAAATCAGCCATAAGGTGTATTTCTTCTTCCTTGTTTTGTTCATTTTGCACTGTGGTTCACAGCATCAGTATCCATCCAGTGCATAAGCTGGAAATCCTGGAACCATTTTCTCTTCTCCTTGCTGCAATTCCAATTGATCACCAAGTGTCATATGTGTACCTTTTTCAGAAATGTTCCTCAGTGCTGTCCCTGGCATTCTTTCTCAGCAACTGTTTCTTCCTTATAGCTCCCCAGCTAAATACTATGATTGTGTTTAAATTTTTGTAATTATTTAATGACTACTACTTTTGCTAGTTTGTAAGTTTCATCATAGCAGGGACTATGCCTGTATTTTATTTTTAATATTTATTTTAGCTTTTCAGCCCCAGTATTTTGTACAGTTGATACAAATGGGTGAAGGAAACAGATGATGAGTTTCCCTACTGCTTTCTTAATTCAGGCTTCCTTTGAGTTGTGACATCTGTTTCAAAAGCTTTGTTTTTCCTTCCTCATTGAACAATCAAGTCACAAATCACCACTAAAGAACTTAATCATGTAACCAAATAACACCGGTTCCCCCAAAACCTATGGAAATAAAAAAATTAAAACAAAACAAGGCCGGGCACGGTGGCTCAAGCCTGTAATCCCAGCACTTTGGGAGGCCCAGGCGGGTGGATCACGAGGTCAAGAGATCGAGACCATCCTGGTCAACATGGTGAAACCCCGTCTCTACTAAAAATACAAAAAATTAGCTGGGCATGGTGGTGCATGCCTGTAATCCCAGCTACTCAGGAGGCTGAGGCAGGAGAATTGCCTGAACCCAGGAGGCGGAGGTTGCGGTGAGCCGAGATCGCGCCATTGCACTCCAGCCTGGGTAACATGAGTGAAACTCCGTCTCAAAAAAAAAAAAAAACAAACAAAACAAGCAACCAAACAAACAAAAAAACCAAACAAAATTCTGCAGTCTAGTCTGTAAGGCCTTTTCAAACTGCCTCAGTCTGCCTCTCTGGCCTGATCTTCATGAACCTCTCTCCCTGAGACCTGATTCCACACATCTGTGACCACACAGAGCCTTTTCATATTGCTATACCCTTACTCATGTGGCTCTCTTATTTGGAATCCCTGTCCTGACAAGTATTTAACAGCTGACAAATTGGGATATTCTAGTTCACCAGGTAGAATGAATTACTCCTTCATCTGTGCTCCTGCGGAGCACTGAGTATCCCTCCAACATTGGAGAATAACATATATGTTCCCTCAATAACAATGCATACCACTGCTGTAGAGAATGGCCTAGTGTTGTAACTCCCTGTGGGCTTCTTGAAATTTATTCTTGTCACATGTGCATAATTGGCAGTGTTTAGTTCAAGGTGAACATTCCACCTTTGGTAGACACTGGTCCATTGCTGTACAGCTAAAGTGCTTCGACACATATCACCGCCTCTTGGCTGTCATGCCTTGATCTGCTGATCTGCAGGTCTGTAAGTGAGTGTATCCACCCTCATATTACTGCCTTTTCCTTCTAATGTGTATCTCTTCACTTCTCTCCATGTAACCTCTCCACACTTTTGTTTCTCAAACTCTGATACTGACTTGCACAATATCAGCCTTTCTTTGTCATTTATTTAACGGTAAGGTGACAAAATATCACCTCATGTTAAAGTAATCTTAAAGCTAAGACCTGTGTTTTTTTAAAACCTTTGACAAAGATCACCTGGGTTAATTTGCTACCGTACGAATTGTGTTTAAAAACATTCTTTGTAAAATCAGTGGCATGTGTGTGTAGGGTAGAGTAAGGTGGTTAAAAATTAAAAATAAACTCCAGTAGATAACAGGTTAATCTTACTGCCCTGGTGGAGAATGAAGAAAAGTTTGCATTTTCCAAAGGAAAAACTAACATCCCCTGGGCATCTTCTATAGTCTAGGCACAGGGCTTCTGGGTATAACATTTGATCCTTACCACATCTCTGGAAAACAATTATCATTTTATTGTAAACTTAAAATACCCTCTCCTCCCATGAAAAAGAGATGCAGTGATTAAGTAATTTTCCTAGCTTCATACACTGTGGCAGAATTGGAATTCGAAGCAAGGGTATTTTTGATCCCAAGAGCATGATATATTATTGCCACACTATCTCCCAAACTAGATGTTAGGGTTTCTTCGGACAGAATCTGTTGTAGTACAAGTTGCTTCTCAGTAAATAGATGTCAAATGTCAACAAATATTGTTAACTGAATATATAAATAATGAAAAAAACAAACTTGAGTACCTGCAAGTTTTTCATTGTCCTGAGCCCTTCTCACATTACCTGGAAAACAAGGTCACTTTATGCTTTTAACTTTTGATTATCTGGGTAAACATATCTTTTCTAAAATACTTTTGAGGTATATTTTTTTGCAGGGAGTGTGGCAAGCTCCTTGGTAATTTCTGACTGTAATGAAAACTATCAGATGAAACAAAAGAATAGAGTTCTTGACAAGCCTATGGTTATATGCTTTTAGTTTTCTTTAGGGGCAGGGGAGAGGTGGTAATGGTTAATGGATACCAAAAAATAGAAAGAATGAAAAAGACCTACTGTTTGATAGCACAACAGGGTTACTATAGTCAATAACAACTTAACTGTACATTTAAAAATAACTTCAAGTGTATTTGTGTTGTAACCCAAAGGATGAATGCTTGAGGGGATGGATACCTGAATCTGAAAAGACTCTATACATGTATAGGGAAAATAAGTTTTCTTCCAACTTCCTCTCTATGTGGGATTTGTGTTTCTTAGCATTTTAAAATAGCTAAGGGTGATCTTAACACACAGACTGTTGAAGTGTGGATGAACTCTTTAATTTTCTTCCCCTTCCAGCTCTAAGGGCCTCACTCTTCACTTTTGGGTGGAGATAATGACAGCGGAGTTATACAGGAAGAAAGAACACTCACAAAGATTTGTTGTGTATCAGTAAAAGAGAAGTAGAGTATGAGAGCTTTGAAAAAATATGGAGAGAGGAACATTGTAACAGAAAGACCCTGAGGTAGAAGGCCAAAACTATGGATCTGGTCTTGCTTTAACACAGTTTTTGGTAAATTACAAGATCCTTCTAAGCTTCAAAAGCTTGACCTGTGGAATGAATTAGTTGAATTAGATAGCTGCATTTTTTAAGTGTCTCTAGGAGATGTCCTCGACTTTATCTTATAAGCCTTATAAACCTTCTGTTGGCCTGTTTATTCAGGCCATCACACCTGTAATTTCCAATGTATTAAAAATTTATGTTTAAAACCAAAGCAGAATGATACTTGAGGATAGGAAAGAGAGAAAGAACACTGTTTGTGGCTCAAGCCCTTTTTATCTCTGCCTAGACTTATTTCTCAGGATTTGGGCAGTGTGCTGGCTTATTTTTAGAGGAAGAAAAGATTGATAGACATTTATGCTGTCACCTTGACCATCTCAGGTTGTGTCTGTCTTGGAGACTGTCAGGCAATAGGTGTGAGCTCACGACTGGCATGTTATGATGGCAGTGTACCAGGATTCAGATGTTATTCTTTCTTTTTAGGATGACCGTATAATGAGAATAAAGGAGAGCTGATATTGAATATGAATGATTGCTACAGAATCTGCTTTCTCATTTTCTTTTGTGCATATTGTGGATGAAGTAGTGGAAAGGGAAAAGTTTACAACTGATTGTTCATGAATATTCATGGTGACTCATTTGGGACCAAATAGTACACTGTGGTAAGGCTAGGCTTACCTACCTTGCAGATAATGGCTTGTTCCTTTTCTGTAGCCTCCATAAAGCTTGAGCCCATAGGAAGATGAGTTGTTTTGTAAGCTGTTCTTGTCCTTTTAGGAGGCATTCTCTGACATTTAAGATATAACCTGGGGCCCAATTCTGTAGCTATGTGTTTTATTTACTTTCACTTTACTTTCTTAGAGAGCAGTGCTCATGTCTTAATACTTTATTTATGTTGGAATAAATCGAACAGGACTTGGCACATGGCAGGTTTACAGTAAATACTTGTTGATGAATGGAAGATTGGGTTACCAGAAACTGATGCTTGATCACACCAGTGCTGTGAATTTGAATTCCAGTATATGGACTTCTTTTCTTTCTACTTTCATTCTTTTGCATGGCCACAAATGACAGAGTTAGAGCTTTCCCTTATGTAATAGAGAACATCTGTTAAAAGGGGATTTCAGTAATAATTTGTGGATAAAATATCCATCTTACTTTTAAGTATGAGTCACTTAAAGTGCCAGGCTTTTAAAGAGGGGGATAGTGTCATAGACATAAAGAGTGAAATGGTGGTTACAGAGGCTGGGGGTGAGGGGTGGTAAGATGTTGGTCAAAGGATACATAATTTTACCTAGGAGGAATAAATTCAAGAGATCTGTTGAACACCATCATGACTACAGTTTATAATATATTGTAGGCTGGAAAATTGCTTAGAGATTTTTAAGTGTTTTTACCATGAAAAAAGTGTGTGCGCTTATAAATAGTTTGATTTGGCCATTTGACAATGTATATAGTATCCTCCCTTCTTTGAGGGGAATATGCTCCAAAACCCCAGTGGATGCCTGAACTGTGGATAGTACCAAACCCTATCTATGCTGTTATTTCCTACATATCTCTGTGGTTCATTTTAATGTACAAATTAAACTATGAGACATTAATCACAATAACCAATAAAAGTTATGAGTGTGTTCCCTCTCTCAAATCTTATTGTACTGTACTTACCTGAGGTGAGATAGACCTCAGAAAGGGAAACTGTGGATAAAGGGGGGCTACTGTACATATTAAAACACCATGAATGCCATAAATCTATACATTTGTTACTTGTATAAATATATACATTTATATACAATTATTACCTGGCAATTAAAAACATGTATATATAAAGGCGATAATGAAATTATCGTTTGTCTGTCAAATAAATTGCTACACGCACAAAGTAACGCTGTATCTCCAAATGATGATCAAATTTTTTTTTTTAATATTTCAGGGATGTGTTTGCCCCTTTTCCACCAGTGCTCATTGCCATACTAAGTTTTATACAGATCCAGTGGAAGCTGTAAAAGACATCCCTGATGGTGCAACCATTCTTGTTGGTGGTGAGTCATAATACTGTTTTACGGTAATGTCCTTATGTTTTTAAATGAAGGGCAAATCACAATGTCAAAGATGTATAGATTAAAAATGATAATTACTTTATTATGCATTATTTATTTTACATATTACAGTGTCATCTATTTTATCAGTGTCTCCTTCCTAAAAGTTTAGCAAGGTTTAGCATTTTTTACTTTCTTTCAGTGTGTGTGTGTGTTTCTATTTTGAAAAAATGAAGCTTCAAAGTAGTCTTGTTTTATTAATAGCTTTGAAAAAATTCCTAGATCCTTGGAAACTTTTTAACTTAAAATGTTTACATTAATCTCATAAGCTTATACCTAGCCACTTCTGTTATTATTCTTTATTTTGAGAAAGAGAGCCCATAGACATAGGTGTCTATTTGACCTCCTCCACCGCCAGTTCTATTGCTGCTTCTTGTTTGGGTTATCATTTATTATTTATTTATTTATTTATTTATTAATTATTTAGAAAGGGAGTCTCACTTTGTTGCCCAGTCTGGAGTGCGGTGATGCAATCTTCATTTACTGCAACCTCTGTCTCCTGGGTTCAGGCAATTCTCCTGCCTTAGCCTCCTGACTAGCTAGGGTTACAGGCACCCGCCACCATTCCTGGCTAATTTTTATAATTTTAGCAGAGATGGGATTTCACCGTGTTGGCCAGTATGGTCTCAAACTCCTGACCTCAAGTGATCCTCCCACCTCGGCCTCCCAAAGTGCTGAGATTACATGCGTCAACCACCTGAGCCCAGACTGGAATGGCTTTTAGATCTACTGACTCACACTCATTACCTTGCTGCTTGATTCTTGTAAATAATATCAAGGATTATTTTTAGGATTTATCTCCACTCATTCAAGTAAGTCATTGAATGTTCATACAGTTAATACAATTTAAATCATCATGGAAAATGTAAAGAAATGATCGTTTTGGGCCAGGCGCGGTGGCTCACGCCTGTAATCCCAACACTTTGGGAGGCCGAGTTGGGCGGATCACGTGATCAAGAGATCAAGACCATCCTGGCCAACAAAGTGAAACCCCGTCTCT